GCCATGAAGGGATTGAATTTTTTTTAAAATGGAGAAGTCATTATAAGTTGCATTTCCAGTTGAATTTGGGGAAACCACTTGATGTATCCATTGTGTTGAGCTATTTAAATTGGTTATGTTTAATTTGTTCATTGCAAACAACTGAAAGTCTGTACATTTTGACAAAACTTGATTTTAAATTAGGGTTGAATTTTATGTAGAACTTAACATCTGTTTGGAATGATTGCAGTTTCTTAATAATTAACAGTCATGTAAGAAGCATCTGTGAAAATAATTGTTTAAACAATCTGCTATATATTGTGAAATATCTGTCCTGATAGCAATGCAGTGTAAGAGACACATGTCCACACTACTTTATCACACATCAAAGACTGAAACCAATCATCATTTTGCTCTCTAATGTATTTAAAAATTCAAAAATATTGCAAGTGTTTGCAATGATTACGGTGCAATTTGTTTACACTGCAGGTTTATGGACACCTACTTCAACACTAAAACTGTAAGTGCGCATCAAACACATTAATTTGGTTTGTTAAACTTCTGATGGGTCAGAAAATAGAACATTGTATAAAAAAGGTTAACACAAGCTATCATTTATTTTCAACAATTTTTTTTTTTTTTTTTAATTAGGTGTAATTCTCCAACAACTCTTCTTTAAATAGGGAATATTAAAATGATATGTAAAGTGGGAGCAATGTTAGGTGTCTGTGGAATGTTGACCCTGAGGCAAAACTAGGATGTTTTTGGCCTATCTAATATAAAAAGGACAGCATAATGATCACACTAGACATTTGAGAAGCTAAATGGTGTGCATTCACCTAAAAAATTATTTTCCTCAATCGTAGCAATTGCCATCAAATTTAAATGAAAATTATAATAAAATATAATTTATATCATTTATACATCTATTCTCATAGGACCCCTTAGGTCAAATCTACAATGCATTTTTAAGTTGAATATAAAGGTTGCTTTAAACTTTTTTTTTTTTTTTAATTTGTGCTAAAAAGGCAAATGCTGCTGTATAATTTATGCATTACATTCTTGGTATAAAAAGAACACTATGCTCTGGGAGTGCTCAGAAGTGCTGCCGAGTAGCATTTTACTTAATTTGCATCTAACTTGTCTTGTGCCCATATCACAAGAATGGCCAATGGAAAATTACCAACAGAATATTTACATACACTTAGCTTAGTCATTTCCCACTGCGTCAGCCCTCACGTTGTTCGGTCTTTAGTAAATCAGACTTGCAGTGAATTAATGTTTTATTTATATTCAGCTTTATACATGGATGAACACAGAATAGTTTGGAGGTGCTTCTTTTATTAAAGTTGAAGTAAAAAAACAATAAAAAAGCAAAACAAAACTATAACCCACACAATATGGTATGACATCAAATCCAGCTAATATTCACATAAAACACATAACATGTCATTACCATTTCTTCCCTTCATAATTGGGTGCAATAAAAATATTTACACCCAAAACAATGTGTAATATAGAATTTTCTCATTTTCTTGCTAAACATAATTTAATAATAATAATAAGAATTAAAATATACTCTTTCAAACAATGCTTAATCTCCACCTGTGAAAGCATCCAATCACAGTGCACGAAAACTCTGCTCATTTTTTAGTTTCATTAAAGTCCATGGAAAACCCTAACTTTTATTAATAACCAATTAGATCATTAGAAGTAAGATGGAGATAGGACTATTTTGCCATAAGATGATCTGTGGCCACTACTCTTTTCATCTATCTATTTCTTGACGTTTGTGGGAATCTGTGACTGTTTACAGCTGATCCAGCATTTGTTTTGAATACGTTTTTCATTAAATGATGATGTGTAGCCTCAAAACAATTGCCAGGAGAAGACAATTTACAGAAGGCAAAGTCCCGCGTTTGAAGGATTGTCCAGTAGACCCCAACTCAAATATGCTTACAAGCTTAATCGGGTAAACAGGAATTATATAAAGTTTAAAATTAAATGCAACAACGATAGATTATCAGATTTACCAGACATGTTAGAGAGCCATCACCATATTTAACTGTGGACATGAGGTACCCCACATGTGTGCGCCAAACCCACCTGTGTTGTTTTTTGCCAAAAAGCTCTATTTTGGTTTTATCTGACCAGAGAACCCAATCCCATTTGAAGTTCCAATAGGGTCTGGCAAACTGAAGTTGGTTGAGTAGTTTTTTGGATGAGAATAGAAGCCTTTTTCTTGTGGTGATGTAGGTGACGTCAGATTGTAGTTTTGGAGACTTTCTGACCTTAAAAAGCAACTAACTTCTGAAATTCTCAAGCTGTGATTTTTTTGCCATTCAAACCATCCTTTTCACAGTCAGTTGAGACTGTATAGACACATGTCATCTTCCAGGTTGATTCATAACATTTCAAGTTGAACAGGACTTGAAGTGATGCCCAAATAGTGGAAATGTAAACAGAAGAAGGAATTTGCACACTTTTGCATTTCAGACCTCAGTGCAACTAGACCTGGGACTTGCTAACCTCCAATCTATATAGTAGACAACAGTATAGTTCAGGCACTCAAGACCACTTGTGCAGCAGTTTTATTGTAATAACAGGCAAATGAAGCAACATTTAGATCTCCACTGAGATCTCTTTCAAGCTTAAACATGTTGCTTAATTTGCCTGTTATTCCAATAAAACCACTGCATAAGTGATCTTGAGTGCCTGGACGATATTGCTGTCTGCTATATCTATGTCTATATGGATGTCTACTAATGGTGAAAATGGACATTTTTAATGCTTTTGCTATATTTTTTTAACCACTTCCCATTTTGAGCTCAGTAACCTTTTGCTGCACATCACAGATATCTTCCTTGGTCTTACACATTGTGATGAATAACTAAAATTAACTAAGGAAATTTAAACTATGTGCTACTTCATATTTATTATACCCCTGTGAACAGGAAGTCACGTTTGAACAATTTCCTGTTCCTAGTCACCCAATTGTTTGATATCCATGAGAGCAAAGTATTTTTGTGCATGTTTTAAACAAAAGTTCAAACAGTAAAACAATAAAAACACCTTTTCACAGCTGTCTTTGCTCATACTTACCAAGGGTGCCGATTTTACAAGGACACTGTAGATATATATCTACATATTAATAGAAAACAGTAGAAATGGCTGCACTCACTGTCTCCAATAAAATTCTTCTTTATTTGCAAGATTTAAAACATGGGATCATGTTTTAAATCTTGCAAATGAAGAAGAATTTTATTAGAGACCATGAGTGCTGCCATTTCTACTGTTTTCTGGATATTAAAGTCCCAGGCTGAGCACCCGGTAAGTATATATTCATATAGCCTGAGTGCAAGGATTTCTCACAGTAATTATATATATATAACTAAGTATAAGTGGGAAAATATGTGTCAGAAGCTAATTCAGATGGTGATGGAACACTATGTAATGTATAGCCCTTTGGTGTTCAAGTGGTTAAGTCGCTAAATCTCTTCACATTTGCAGAATAGACATTTTTGTCTTGCATTGGGTAAAAGCAGAAAAATAATGCTCAAGTGGTTAAGTGGCAAAACCTCTTAATGTTGCAGAATATAAATTTTTGTCTTGCATTGGGTAAAAGCTGAAAAATAATGCTTTTCTTGTCCTTTCTGACATGTGGATTGTTGGCATTGGCTGCGGAAATACACCTTGTTGATTCATCCCAAAGTAAAGCCATATTTCTGTCATTTAATTCAGCTGACTTTGGTTCCTGAAGGTAATAGAATTAGATTTTACAGAGTCAGAGAATAATTGCGTTAGCAATTTCCTCTAGGGTAAGTATTTCTGTAATAATTCACTTTCAGGAAAGAACTCTTTGTACAAGACGACTTGCAAAGGGGTAATGCGTTCAGTATCCCATCATTATGCATTAGTTCCTAATTCATCACCAAAGTGCTGATCATAATGAGCCATTTGGAATTCATCATGATTAGTTTTAATGTATCCATACGTTAGGTAGCACAAATGTAATTTACATTGGTCCGCAGTAAAATTGCACTTATGCACTGTCTCGAATCCTGAAGAAGGTCATCTTTAGACAGTTTGTATTTTTACACATAAAACACCTGATTTTTGGAATATGGTTTAGTGAGAGTGCTTTTAATACTGGTGGTAAGGTATTTTTAGCATTTACCAATAATTTCATTTTTCATGCAATTTCATTACTCCAGAGAAAAGAGCACTAAAAGGGGATGGGGCACAAATGCATGGTAAAATGTGGATAAAATGAAAATGTATTCTAATAGCAATTAGCATTATCTGTTATCTAACATGTATTTAGCCAGTATTGTAATGAGGAGGACAGGGGGTGAAAGCTGACATTCCTCTTTTACAGGTTGGAGGGGTGTGAACACAGCATTTCCATCCCCCCTGTCACTCTTTGTAGCATGGGTGCACAGGACAGAGGAAGAGGATTTCATTATCATCTACCCAGGTTTAGCAGGTAAAAAGTTGTTGTACTGATACAGACCGTAGAGGTGAGGTTATATGCTGTCGGCACCTGCAGCATGTTAACTGCATACTGAGAGGGAATTCAGGAAGGAGTCCCGGCTCCCCCTTCCTCTAGATGCCAGGGACTGCCTGCCTCCTGCTTCTGTTTCTCCTCACCAGTGCTGATAAAAGAACAAGGGAAATTTGGTAACTGTGTGCCTGTATCTATGTTGTGTCTGTGTGTGACCATGTCTGTAACCATGTGCTGGTTTGGGACTGTGTGCAAGTGGGTGTATGTGACAGTGAATGCATGTGACTGTGCTTCTGACAGTGTGACTGTGTGTATGTGACTGTGTGCATCTGATTGTGTCTGTGTGTGTGTATGTTTGTGTATGTATTGTATGTGACTATGTGCATGAGACTGTATGTGACAGTGTACTTGTACAAAACAATAGGGAGGGTCAGCACTAGTGATTTCCCAAACGGTTCGCTGCGGAAAGCGAACATATGCGCGTAAACTTTGACCCTGTACCTCACAGTCAGCAGACACATTCCTGCCAATCAGCAGCAGACCCTCCCTCCCAGACCCTCCCACCTCCTGGACAGCTCACTAAGAATGCAGCTTCACAATGAATGTAAAATGGATGCTGTCCAGGAGGTGGGAGGGTCTGGGAGGGAGGGTCTGCTGCTGATTGCCTGGAATGTGTCTGCTGACTGTGAGGTACAGGGTCAAAGTTTACCGCATATGTTCGCCATCCACGGCGAACCATTCGGCGAACCATTCAGCGAACCGTTCGGGACATCACTAGTTAGCACTTCACTAGAAAAAATGGTGCAAATCTCCAAGATCTAATTCCAGTACCTCACATGTTGAAAAACAATAAGGTGCAGAAACACCAAATTATCAAAGAGATTTATTCCATCAGTGTGGAATCGCCAACCTTTCCACCAACTTTAGGGTCTTTGACAAGTCTGGAAGTAATTTTAAAACATTGCAGTTTTTTCACATGTGTGTATGTCCATGTGTACATGTGTGTGTGCTTGTATGATTGCATATATACATATTATGTATACATGTCACTATGTATGTATGCGAGGAAACAAAAATAAGAGGGATCAAAAACAAACATGGGTAATGGGCTACACACACACAAAGTAGTGTGGTTGAAGAGACACAGAAGAGGGTGAAAGTCAGAAGATACACACAAAGGGATTAGTGGGTGCTGAGTGGCATAAGTTTAAAACAAGGGGGTGGATTGCCAACTTACATATCCACACTGGGTGCCAAGCCACCTGAGTACACCTCTGTAATTAGCTGCTCTTTTATAAGTTATTAACATTAATAAAATATTACGTGTTTCTTTTTTATCAGCCTCCTGTAGAAACCAGGACAATAGATACACCTTGTAAAATTACCAATATGAACTGATTATAAAATAGATCTATAAATAGAAAAAACAAAATATAGTGCAGACAATCTTCAATTGTGTAATACACAGTAGGAGGTAATGGAGAGAACTCACATGGACCAGAGCCCTATCACCCCTGGCTCTGCATCTCTCTGTCCTGTATTGCAAAGAACCATCTGCTTACTGGGAACATATCATCTAGATCTTGGCAGCACAGTGTGGGATACTTCCCTCTCCAGTGGAGCTTTTCAAACACAGAGCCAGGGTTGATAGGGCTCTGGTCCATGTGAGTTCTCCCCATTACCCCCTACTGTGTATTACTCAATTGAAGATTATGCTAGCTTTAGTGTACTTATAATCTTAATTTTAATAATGACAGGAGGCAAGTATTTTGAATTATCTTCCTTTACTACCCCATAGCAGCAAGGACATATAGAGAAAAAATGAACCAATCAGAAACAGGCAGAGAGTACAAGATACATATTCCACTGAGTCACTTCCTCTTGATAACGGCGGCATCACAAGTTACACAATCAACTGAAGAACCATACGGAATAACGAAGACAATTCAAATTTCAATAACGATGAAGAACGGCTGGAGTCATTCAAAACTGGGAACAACGAATATAATTATATGCTTGATGTAGAAGATCTCTTTGTGTCTTTTAAGCTGAAAGAGCCCAAGAGCGTTTTAGCGATATGAAATGTAAACCTGAACAATATGAGCAACCATCACATAAAAGGTGCGCAATAATTCAGTACTATTACAATCTTTTGTAATCTATAAAATTTTACCTATGTACCATAATATAGCTACCTAATATAGAATATCTATACATATATCAACTGTACATGAAAAACAACCCAAACCTTCCATCTAGAGTGAATAGAGTCAATTACATAGTCACAAGAAATGACCAGTACTATGTTGACAACATTAAATCACCTACCTGGTGATGAGAACCCACCTGAATGGGAGGAAAATTCAATAGGGGGAGAAAATACTCACCTCCTGTCATTATTAAAATGAAGATTATCAGTACATTAGAGCTAGCATAATCTTTAATTTTATCACATGACAGGAGGCTTCATATTTAGCATTTTTAATGCTAAGGTAAAAGAGAGAAAATGGCAATGGAGGACGGGTGAGAGTTAAACATCCGAAAGGTGGGTTCTCGTCACCAGTCTGCCGAGATGATATATCTAATATGTGGGCCCCCGCTGTGAAGGCGGAAGAGTCCTCCGCATCCCAAATCTATTGGGCGCTGAAGGAAGGGTCAATCCCAGATTAAAGCCATCGTTCTCAGCGGGCAGAGGTGGTAACCGAGACTGGCCCATGTGACTTAATGTAGGACACTAATAACTGTCGGATGAGGTAATTGTAGCGTGGCTGTAGCTGTACGAAGACGTGCTGTGTCTGGTTCCGATGGTAAAAATGGGTAAAAAAAAACGACGTTGAATCCATCGAGACACCCCAAGAGTGACACCTTCCCGGAGAAAACAAGAAGGTATCTAAGTGGAATGCTCCAATGTCCGAAATCCGACAGAAACAAAAACAAACATAAAAAGGAGGGTAAACTTCGCTGTTGGTTGTCTAAAGACAATTGCTGTTAGAAGGTCACTCCTTTATAAAATGAAGAACTTGGACCACATCCCAAATGGAGGAATATTCGGTGCAGGGGTCTACATAACCAAATGTCCCAAAGTGATCTACAAACCAAGGGATTCCGACCTATCGAATTCCATTGTAATGGAATGTGAGCCGCTGAAATTGCAGAACGCACGGTACTGATGGACCAGTAGGTCTTACCTTCCGAGAACAGGGATGTGAGAAAGTTCAATATGGAGGATACAGAGGCCATACAAGGATCGAGGTTCCATCCCATACACCAACTGACCCGTGAATTCCAAGCTGAGAGGTAACACTTCCTCATTCCAGGGGCCCAGATAAATCTCTAGCCGTTGGCGATAAGTCATCTGTGCATCAAACACCCCTGAAATACTCCAGGCCACTAAAGAGAGATGTCCTGCTTGTAGCATGGGATGAGGATTGCACATGGAATCCGTGAGTATCATCAGATCGCATGTTAATGGCGGAGGATTCTGGTATGACAGTGCGAGGAGATCTGGAACCAAGGTTTACTCTGCCACCGGGGCGTCACCAGGGGGATTGCCACTTCCAGCATTTTGATGTGGTGAACCACTCTTGCGATCATTGCAAAGAGTGGAAATGCGTAAGCCCCTTCATTTGGCCATGCCTGCCAGAATGTGTCTACCTCTTCACCCTCCGGGTCTGGTAATCAGCTGAAGAAAATCGGTAGTTGGTGCGAGATGGAAAAGTGGATCGTGCCAAACATGGCTCTGCCATTCCACACCTGCATACCGTCAAGCCACCATCAAAGTTCTTGTCGGATTTCTTACGTCATCGGTACCGGTTGGTCGTAAGTGCTATTTTTCCTGAGGAAACAAGATGTTAGGCGTTACATGGCCCAAGAGTGCCAGGTGGCCTGGGAAGATCGCCTGGATGGATGAGGATAGGAGTCCTACGATCCATGCCAGGAGTCTGAGTGGATCGAATCCCAACATAGCATCTTCCATATTTCCTTGCGTATTGCCACGGCTGTGTGATTCTGGTTGGAGAGTAGAATGTCGTCCAGGTAAGCCAGGCATCCTATGCCTTGACCCCGTAAGTGAGCCATCACTGGTTTCAGAAACTTTCATAAAGCACCGTGGTGTCAAACTGAGCCCGAGGGGGAGGCAGGTAAATTTCCATGGTGTCCCATTTCAGAGGAACCAAAAGGAGGGACAACTGCCGTTGTCTACTGGTACAGGCAGGTAGGCGCCTTAAGTCCAGGTGGGGTAAACCAGTCCCCTCCTTGCCGGGGGTGCCGCAATAGATGGATACCTTCCATCTTGAAATGGTGGTATGAAAAAATGTTTAACCAGGAAAGAGACATCCAAGTGCATCCTTTTGATGTAACTTTTACCAAATTTAATGGTATTAATTTTATCTACCTCAAATTGAACCTGTGACCCCCAAGGGTTAAACAGATTCTTCTGACGAAGCATTAGCTTTTTCATGAAAGGCTCACTGAATAATTTTCCTTGTGCCTGTGGGTCCAATTCCTCAGCCCCGAGGTTTACCAATTTGCCATCAATTCGGAATAAGACTGCCCCGTGTCTCTCCAAAGAGAGGGCCACATTTGTGTTGCCAGGAAGCAAAACATCTCTGGTTCCACTCACGAATACTATGCATCCCGTCGCATGCGTTGTCTGCTGAAAGGAGTCAGCCTAGGTGTATGCCTCATCCGTATACTGGTTGTTAGCAAGGTTTAAGATAAAAATAGCCAGAATGAAGGCATTCTCCAAGTTAACTACACTTTCACTTCAGCTACTTTTGGCCTTAAATTTGAAATTCATTTAGAATTCACCTTGGATTCTCACTTTAGTACATTATCATGTATATCACGTTGTGCAAGTACTGACATTTGATTACACTTTTCCAGATTTTCAGTCACAGACTTACTTAATACAAACTTTTATGTAAAGGAATTGGGATATGAAAGAGATAAAGAATTTTTCTTTTTCTATCTATAGGTACTTACATATCTAATAAAATTACTGGAGCAGCCTGCTCATGTTGGTGTATATTCCCCAGGCAACACATTTCATTGTAATGTTCAGATCACTTTATCACCTCCTGTAATTACAAAAGTATCAAACAGTTACATGTGCAAATGTATTTTACAGCAACACTGGTACGATAATGACTTCTAGTGTCGTTTGGCACGCAACCACATGGATTCTACAGAGAAGGTTTATCAAGCTGAAGTAATAAGTATTTTAACTAAGCTGCCGCATTTCATACTCTGTGCTGAATTTTATAACCCTTTCAGTACCAGAGAAATGAGGAACAATAAGTAGCATGTTGCTAGCTACACCAGCATGATGAGATGCTCAACAAATGAGTTTATATTTGGAACTTTGAGGAGTTTTCTACTTATATTTCAGTCTCTCATTCTAATGCTTGGAAAAATGTACAGAAAAGAAGAACACTACATGCAGCTTTCATTTTTTTTTTTGGCATTTAAAGGGTTGATTGCTGATTGGTTAAAAGTTTGAGACTAAAAACTAGTAATTAGGCCAGAATTTGGATAGGGCTAAATTCTGATGCGGCTTGATTCTGCAGAAAGAAGTTAGAATCTAGTTGTTGAATAGCAATTTTCAAACTGAAGTCTATGAGGAAATTGTTATTTAATAAGCAGAAGAAACAAATATTATCTTTAGAAAATACAGCA